TTTAAATGTCTGGCAGAATTCAGCTGTGAAGCCATCTGGTCCTTGGCTTTTCTTTGTGGGGAGGGCCTTTATTACTGATTCAATTTCCCTTTCTTTTTATTTATTTATTTTTTATTTTTTTGACAGCAGAGTGGACAGTGAGAGAAACAGAGAAAGGTCTTCCTTTTGCCATTGGTTCACCCTCCAATGGCCGCCGTGGCCAGCGTGCTGCGGCCGGCGCACCGCGCTGATCCGATGGCAGGAGCCAGGTACTTATCCTGGTCTCCCATGGGGTGCAGGGTCCAAGGACTTGGGCCATCCTCCACTGCACTCCCTGGCCACAGCAGAGAGCTGGCCTGGAAGAGGGGCAACCGGGACAGAATCCGGCGCCCCGACCGGGACTAGAACCCAGTGTGCCGGCGCCGCAAGGCGGAGGATTAGCCTAGTGAGCCACGGCGCCAGCCCGATTTCCCTTTAGATCCCTTAACATTTCTTTTAAACAGCCAGGTGCCCTGTAATTAGGTGCATATATGTTTATAATAGTTACATCTTCCTGTTGAATTGATTTCTTACTCATTACATAGTGCCCTTCTTTGTCTCTTTTAACAGTTTTTGTGTTAAAGTCTATTTTGTCTGATACTAGGATGGCTACATCAGCTCTTTTTTGGTTTCTGTTGGCATGGAATATCTTTTTCTATCCTTTCACTTTTCAATCTGCTTGCATCTTTGTTGGTGAGATGTGTTTCTTTTAGGCAGCAAATAGATGGGTTTTGTTTTTTAATCCATTCAGCTAGTCTGTGTGTTTTAACTGCAGAGTTGAGGCCATTCACATTCAAAGTGACTACTGATAAGTAACAACTTTGCTCTGCATTTTCCATACATATTCCTATTTTTTACTTTAGATTTTCTTTGTACTTTCATTGGGAGATTTCTTTCCTTTGCCCTCTTTCGCATTGATGACCATGTTTCTTTGTTTCTAATTTCTTCTTGTGTTGGGTTTGACTGTATAATTTCCTGTGCTTTGTCTACTAAGTTGGATATTCTTTCTTCTGCTTCACCAATTCTGTTGTTAAGGCTTTCCACTACGTTTTTTATTTGCTCTACTGAATTTTTCATTTCTTTAAGATATCAATTTCATAAGAGAAATCTTCTTTCATGTCTTCTAGGGATTTCAGTAGTTCATGCATTTGCTTCAGTTGATTACTTCTATGTAATCTTAGGTTCAACATTTTGAATTCCATTTCTGGCATTTCTTCTATCTCATCATCTTCACAATCTACTATTATTGAAGTATTGTGTTCTGGTTGGGGGCATCATGCTGCCTTCCTTATTCTTATTTCTTGAATTGGTGCATTTGTTATTCGGCATTTGTGGAGAAACTCTTTGGTTTCTTTGTTTCTTCCATGTGGTGGCTTTTATCTTTGTACTATTCCTCTATAGATAAGTGGAGTGTCTGCTTTCAGTGAATATCTAGAGGCATGTGGTGTCTGTGGTCAGAGAGCTCTGTTAAGTTCTCAGGGTGAAGGGCTTGTCTAAAGTGACACACCCTTGGAGCCAGAGCTGTGGCACTGTGGGGAAAGCCGCCGCCTGCAGTGTCAGTATCCCATATGGGCTCCAGTTCAAGTCCCAGCTGTTCTGCTTCCAATCTAGCTCCTGCTATGGTCTGGGAAGGCAGTGGAGGACGGCCCAAGTCTTTGGGCCTCTGCACTCGTATGGGAGACCCAGAGGAGGCTCCTGATTCCTGGTTTCAAATTGGTGTAGCTCCAGCTGTTGCAGTCAACTGGGGAGTGAACCAGTGGATGGAACCCCTACCCCGCCCCACCTCTCTTTCTCTCCCTGTGTAACTCTTTCAAAGAAATAAATAAATCTTTAAAAAAAAAAATAGACACACCCATGTTTAGCATGATAAGTATCCTCTTTTTTTTTTTTTAATCATCAGAAGGGAGGTTCATTCTGCTCAGTTGATCTCTCCCTAAAGGAGACCAGTGCCTGATGGGTATAATATTCTTCCGCTCTCCCACAAGGACCACACCAAAGATCTGTGCAGTCCTCAGTGTAAGCTCAGATTCCCCAGCAATGTCCCTCACCAGGTAACCAGAAAGCACTGAGCACGTGGAGTCCCCAACAGTAACTGCCCAGAGTCCCAGGCACACCATGAGTCCTCCCACACAGTCTGTTTTTTCACAGTCCTGGCACATAAGCCTTCCATAGTCACAGCATCCAGCCTCCTGTTAGTTCTCCCCACCAGAGTCAGGAGTCTCCACTAGACTTGTTGCTGGGCATGGACATGAGCTGGTGCAGCTGTCACATATGTCCAAAACGGCACCCACTATTGGCTGTTACAGGACACCAGTGCAAGGTGATCAGAGAAGGGTGAAACGTGTCCCTCCTTTTTTTTCTCTCCTCTAATTTGGCAGCTATACTATCCCCCTCGGGGCTCCAAGCCGGTTTCCTTCTAGGCTCTTCCTGCAGTTTTATTGCCAATGGTTTGGGCTGCTGCAATCTAGTCTCACCTCACTCTCCAATGCTGGTGCAGAGGCTCTCAACTGCTAGGGTCCTGAGTTTTGGGCGTCCAAGCCCTCCACATAGGTAGGTCCTTTGTGTCCCTCTAATTTGCATAGTTTCCTCTAACATTTTCCCCCTAACTCTTCCCAGAAACTGCACTCTCTCTACTTTTTTTACATTATCTTCTAGACTAGAGCAGAAAGCTCCCTCCCTATTCTGCCATCTTGGAAGCTCTCTTGTAAGATTTGTTTGTATCACAACTTTAGTTCTATCTCAACTTTATCTAAATGGCTGCACAAAAGTCCACTGTTAAAATGTAACCTAATAGGTTTAAATGATCTACCTACTGCTTAATACTTTGTTTCATTTGACAGTTTCTGGATTAGTGACTTTTGGTTATTCAATAAGTTGATCCATTAAGGAAATTGGCTTAACAAGTTGACTTCTAAAGAACCAACAGAAGAGTCATGTTGAAGAGGCTGGCATTGTGGCGTGGCAGGCATTCCCTATGAATGCTATTTTGAGTTTCAGCTGTTCCACTTCTGATTCAGCTCCCTGCTAACACACCTGGTAAAGTAGCAGAGTGGCCCAAGTGCTTGCGCCCCTCTATCCCTATTGGGAGATCCACATGGAGTTTCAGGTTCCTGGCTTAGGTCTGGTATAGTCCTGTCCAGTGCAGCCATTTGGGGAGTGAACCAGCAGACAGACACTTGCGCTCTTTCGCGCTCACTCTTTCTCTTTCTCTCTCTCTCTAACTCTGCCTTTCAAGTACACAAATAAACCTTTAAGAAGCAAACCAGTCATGTTGGATGAGATAGCTAATTCCCAAAGTAGCCTTCACTTATTCTTCTCGAAGAATAAGTTGCCTACCTTTTCAAGTATTCCCATCAATCCCTTCAGGGGTGAGGCACCTTTTTTCTGCCAAGGGCCATCTGGACATTTATCACATCATTTAAGGATCACACAAAATTATCAACTTAAAAATTCGCCTGTTATAGATTCGTTGGATTTTCAGTCCTGCTTGTGGTTGCCTTGGCAGGGCTAGACCAAATGAATTTGTGAGCTTTACACAACCTGCAGTCAGTTCTCCATCCCTGCAGGTCTAAACTAAAGTTATACAGAGCTAGCTGGTAAAGAGCATATCCAAGATTTACACCTCCTGCTTGGCAAGATGCTTTAACCTCTATGCATAGTTTTCTCATTCCCTCAAATGGTGGCTACAAAATCTGATTTATAAACCAATCTAACACAGATCTTGGTGAGAGTCAAACACTTTAAAAATTTAAAATTAATCATTTTAAAGTGTTATACAAATTGCAATACTATTTTAAAAAACAACATACAAGCTGGCGCCGCGGCTCACTAGGCTAATCCTCCACCTTGCGGCGCCGGCACACTGGGTTCTAGTCCCGGTCGGGGTGCCAGATTCTGTCCCGGTTGCCCCTCTTCCAGGCCAGCTCTCTGCTGTGACCAGGGAGTGCAGTGGAGGATGGCCCAAGTCCTTGGGCCCTGCACCCCATGGGAGACCAGGAAAAGTACCTGGCTCCTGCCATCAGATCAGCGCGGTGCGCCGGCCGCGGTGGCCATTGGGGGGTGAACCAACGGCAAAAGGAAGACCTTTCTCTCTGTCTCTCTCTTTCACTGTCCACTCTGCATGTCAAAAAAAAAAAAAAAAAAAAAACCTACATACGATCATAAATTTCTTTGAAAAATCAACTTTTATTTCAGTTATCTTTAATGTACAAAATATTTTAGGTAAATTACATACCATATCTTTAGAGATTTATAGTGTAACATCTATTAAACTAAATGTTTGACTCAATCATCCTTAATGGGCAAAAAATTTCAGCTATACTACAAACAGTATGATGTTTTTATTTTTTCACAGTGGAAAAAATGCTCTTTATAAAAGAATCAAATGGTACCAAAAAGTTTTGAAGTAAAAATTCCTTTTCCTAAAAGTAATCATTATTAATAATTTCTTCTACACCTTTCCATATATTTTTCATTTAAACATATACAACATATTTGCTATCCTTTAATGAAAAAAGGACCTCTATACATTACCTGTCACTTGCTTTTTATTTTATTACATAATAGATACATCTCGATATTAGTAAATATAGGGATCAGTGTGGTATTTTAGAAGAGAGGAAATTCTGTAAAATCTATAAACTGGAATGGCACTGTGCCATAGGAGTTAAGCCTCCTCTTGCAGAACTAGCATCCCATATGGACAACAGTTCCAGTCCCAGCTGCTTCTCTTCCGACCTAATTCCCTGCTAATGGCCCGGGAAGGCAGAAAAAGATGGCCCAGGTGCTTGGGTCCCTAACCAACATGGGAGATCCAGAAGAAGCTACTGGTTCCCGGCTTTGGATCAGTCGGGTTCCAGACATTGTGGCCATTTGCAGAGAGAACCAGTGAACAGAAGCTCTCTCTGTCTCTCTTTCTCTCTCTGTAACTCTGCCTCTCAAATAAATAAATAAACCTTTAAAAAATATATCTATAAACTGACCTGTTTTGGATGCACCACCTACAGAATTCATTCTTCACTCCATCAGAAATGTTGACTTTGACTGTCAGTATCTTCAAATTTTCTCCACGGTTAATTGCCAGAATCTGAGTGCACAAATATATGACAGATAATCCAAAAAATACATAAATGATAAATATAGCCAGTCAACATTTATGAAACAAATCAGGCAGCTATCCTGGCAAGAGCTATATAATTTTTCACTTGTTTATTTACCAATAATATATTTAAAAAAATCATTTTAGACTTTTTTTTTCAAATAACCTATCTCCCTCATACAGGAAACCATAATATGCTCTTTGAAAAAGAAAAACAGGTAAAAAGCCTATCCACCACATTCACAGTAAGAAACTTTGGAATAAACTATTTTAAATTCTACTAATTGAAATTTTTTGATCTTCTTAAGTTGAAAGCATATACTTTTTATAACTGTGAAAAGATAATTTGTGCTAAGATAAATACCAACATGTGAAATCCTAAGTGGAATATTTAATAGCTACAAATTATTTTCACCTATTGAGCATCTACTAATTGTAGGGCTCATTTAAGCACTTTACAAATACCTCAATTCATATAAGTATAATCACCTTAATTTTAAAAATAACTTTTCTGAGACTAATCCATCACAAATCAAAGCTAGCAAGTGGCAAAGAAGGAATTTAAATTCAGATCAACCTGCCCATGTTCTTAATTAGTATTACATTAAAAGAGCAACTGGTTTAAAACAAATTAAAAGCATTCCTTAAAGGAACGCAAACACAATCTAAACCAAACAGAAGAAAGGAAACAACAAAGATTAAAGTGAAAATTCATTTTTAAAAAGGGAACAGAAAAACAACAGAGAATATCAACAAAACCAATAATTGGTTCTTGGAAAACAGCAACAAAATTGACGAAACTTTTGCTAGATTAAGGAATAATGGAAAGGGCTGGCGTTGTGGCTCACTAGGCTAATCCTCCAGCTGTAGCGCCAGCACCCTGGGTTCTAGTCCCAGTCGGGGCGCCGGATTCTGTCCCAGTTGCTCCTCTTCTAGTCCAGATCTCTGCTATGGCCCGGGAATACAGTGGAGGATGGGCCAAGTGCTTGGGCCCTGCACCCGCATGGGAGACCAGGAGAAGCCCCTGGCTCCTGGCTTCAGATCAGCGCGGTGCACCGGCCACAGCGCACCGGCCGCAGCGGCCACTGGGGGTTGAACCAACGGAAAAAGAAGACCTTTCTCTCTGTCTCTGTCTCTCTCTCTCTCTCCCTCTCTCTGTCCACTCTTCCTGTCCAAAAAAAAAAACAAAAAAAACAAAAAACACCACAATAATGGGGAGGGGCAGCATTGTGGAACAGCAGGTTAGGGTACCACCTATGATGCCAGTATCTCATGTGGGTGCTGGTTCAAAGTCCCAGCCTTTCCACTTCTGATCCAGCTTCCTGCTAATGTACCTGGGAAGGCAGCAGAAGATGGTCCAAGTACTTGGGCCCCTGCTACCCACGTGGGAGACCTAGATGAAGCTCCTAGCTCCTGGCTTCATCCTGACCCAGCCCTGGCCATTGCAGCCATTTGACCATTGGGGAATGAATCAGCAGATGGATTATATCTCTCTCTCTGTTTCTCCCTCCATCTATATATAACTCTTTCAAATAAATAAATAAATATTTTTAAAAGAGAGAGCGAGAAAAGTCAAATTACCAAAATCAGGAACATAAAAGAGGCTACTACCAAAAGTAAAAAAGATCATAAAAGAATACTATGATTAACTATGTGGCAAATTAGATAACTTGGATAAATGGAAAAATTTCTAAAAAGACATAGATTAACAAAACCACATAAAAAAATTTAAAAAGCTGGTAAGAACTCTAACAAGTAAAGGCACTGAATGAGTAACTTGAAAATTTCCCAAAAGAAACATCCAGGCCCAGATGGTTCCACCTATGAATTCTACCAAATATTTAAAGAAGAATTAGCACCAATTCTTCACAAATTTATCTAAAAAACACAAGAGAAAACATCCCAACTCAACTTATCAGGCTACTATGTATATATTGGGAAATAATAATCAGACAAGATTTTGTAAGAAAACTACAGAATATCTCTTACAAATAAGATGCAAAAATCCTCAATAAAATATGGTATACCAAATTCAGAAACATAAGCTAACATCATATTTAATGGTAAAAGTCTGAATGCTTTCCCTCTAAGGTCAGGGACAAGAGAATGGTGTCTGCTCTCACCACTTCTATGCAACACTGACTGGAGGGAGGGAGGAAAGAAGGAAGGATGAAAGGAAAGGAGGGAAGGAGGGAAAAGGGAGAGTAGACAGTGAGGGTTGGGGCAGGGGGTGGAGGGGAGGCCAAAACGGGGGGAAGGTCATCCAGATTAGAAATAAAGAAGTGGGGGCAGCGCTGTGGCCCAATGGGTTAACACCCTGGCCTGAAGTGCCAGCATCCCATATGGGCACCGATTCAAGACCAGGCTGCTCCACTTTGAATCCAGCTCTCTGCTATGGCCTGGGAAAGCAGCAGAAGATGGCCAAAGTGCTTGGGCCCCTGCGCCCACGTGGGAGACCTGGAAGAAGTTCCTGGCTCCTGGCTTCAGATCGGCACAGCTCCAGCCATTGCAGCCAATTGGGGAGTGAACCATTGGATGGAAGATCTTTCTCTCTCTCTCTCTCCTCTCTGTGTAACTCTGCCTTTCAAATAAATAAATAAATCTTAAAAAGAAACAAAGAAGTACAATTGTGCATATTCCTAACTAACATGACATTGGACACAGAATATCATAAGGAATCTACTACAAAATTACTAGAATTAATAAATAGTTCAAAAAAATTGCAGGATATAAGATCAACATATAAAATCAATTTTACATGCTAGCAATAAACATTCAGAAAATCATTTTTAATTCCATGTACAATAGTACCAAAAAATACTTAAACTTAACAAAAAAGGATAAAACCTATACTCTGAAAACTACCAAAATTATTAAAAAGAACTTAAATAAATAGAAAGGCATCCCATGTTCATGAATCAGAAGGTCTAATATTGCTAAGATGGCAGTGTTCCTCAAATTTATTTACAGATTCAATGTAATCCGTACCAAATCCCAAGCTAGCTTCTTTGCAAAAATTTACAAACTAATTCTAAAATTCATATAGAAATTAAAAGAACCTAGAATCACCAAAACAATCTATAAAATGAAGAACAAACTGAGAGATCTTCACTTTCCATTTTCAAAAAGCTTATAAGACAAAGGGATAGTAATCAAGATGGTGTGGTACTGGCATCAAGACAGAAACAGAGACCAATGTAATAGAATTAGTAGTCCAGGGGCCAGCACCGTGGCTCACTTGGCTAATCCTCTGCCTGCAGCATCGGCATCCATATGGATGCCGGGTTCTAGTCCCGGTTGCTCCTCTTCCAGTCCAACTCTCTGCTGTGGCCCAGGAGGGCAGTGGAGGATGACCCAGGTGCTTGGGCCCCTGCACCCACGTGGGAGACCAGGAGGAAGCACCTGGCTCCTGGCTTCGGATCAGTGCAGCGCACTGGCCGTAGCGGCCATTTGAGGGGTGAACCAACGGAAGGAAGACTTTCTCTCTGTCTCTCTGTCTAACTCAAACTGTCCAAAAAAAAAAAAAAAAAAAAAAAAAGAATTGGTAGTCCAAAAACAATCTTTTACATTGTGGTCACTGACTTTTAAACAAGGCTACCAAGACAATTCAATGAGAGAGAGAGGGGAACAGTCTTTTCAACAAATTGTGCTGGGAGAACTGAATAGTTATAGGTAAAAGAACTAAGCTGGACCCCTTCCTCATATCATACATAAAAAAGAACTCAGGAATGGGTATATGGCATAGCAGTTAAGATGTCACTTAGGACATTCATATCCCATATTAGGGTGCCTGGGTTTGAGTCCAGGCTACATTCCCAATTTCAACTTGCTGCCAATGCAGACTCTGGGAGGCTGCTGATGGTTCAAGTAGTTGGGTTCCTGCTGGGTTAAGTTCCTGACTACTGGCTTTAGCTGGCTGTAGTGACCACTTGGAGGGTGAACCAATGGAAAAAGGAAGACCTTTCTCTCTGTCTCTCTCTCTCTCTCTCACTGTCTAACTCTGTCAAAATAAATAAATAAATAAATAAATAAATAAATAAATAAATAAAATTAACTCAAACTAGATTGTAGACCCTAAAATAAGTAACAAAACTATAAGATTAGCTTGTTATTTCACACATGCCACAGCTGGAGGACCTCAGGCTGAAGTTAAGACATTTGAAACAGGTGTAGCCAAAGAAAAATAGAAGAGGCATAGAATATTAAGGATGAATTCACAAAAGCCCAAGATCATGGAAATCTGGCCTGTTCTCTATACTATTTTTCCAAGGAAAGGTTGTTAATGATGTTAGACTATAGAGCTGTTAATCTCAGGTGTTGGAAGCAAGGTCTGGTCCAACAAATTTACATGTTATCGATCAAAAAGGTAAGTACTTTGAAATAATAGATGTTGAAGACAAAGCGTGGGTGAAGCTCATTGTCTAACAGATTTAAAATTAAAAAAAGATAAAAGTATCCTTCTAATAAATAAAAAAAATTTTCATTAAAACTAGAATTTAAGAAGTGTCCCTCTCTTTGAAAGTCATCACCAGAGCCATTCTTTTAGCCCAGTGGGTTAAGTTCCCACCTGCAACACCAGAACCCAATATGAGCACCAGTTCGAGACCCAGTTGCTCCACTTCCAATCTAGCTCCCTGCTAATGTCCCTGGAAAGGCAGCAGAGGATAGCCCAAGTGCTTGGGTCCCTGCCACCCAAGCAGGAGATTTGGATGGAGTTCCAGACTCCTGGCTTTGGCCTGGCCCAGCCCCAGCCATTGCAGCCATTTAGGGAGTGAATTAGTGGATGGAAAATCTTTCTCTATCTCTTTCATTCTGCCTTTCAAATAAAGACATAAATCTTGAAAGAGAGAGAGAGAGAGAAAAGAAAAAGAAAAATCAGTCATCACCAAAAGACTGGGAAAGACTTCAATCCCAACAACATTATCACTGAGCAAGAAGAGGAGGCAGTCCTTCCAGGATTAAACTGGGCAGATCATCCTTGAGGGTGT